GGATACCCCCTCTAATGCACAACATGGGTCTAAAAAGACCCGTATTCATTTCCTATGTTATTTCATGCATGGCTCGGCATTTTTTTTGTTTCACCTTTTGAAATCACTTTATTTGAGCATTTTCTATTTCATGATCTATAAATTTCATGATTTATGAATATTCAAAATATCTTGTTTTCAATTATCACAAATTCATATTTTAATATTTCCTAGGTTTTGTGTAAATACATCAAGTTTACACACATGGGTCTAAAATGACCCATCTATGCAAACGTGATAAAACAAAAGAATAAAGAAAACTTTTTGTTAAAATAACCATTGTCACAGTTGTTTAGATCAACACATTTACTGTAACACTTGAAATATGTTTATTGGCCACTTTGTCACGCATAACACACATATAACCGATAACACTGAAATTGAACTGTAGTGTAGTGCAACTGTAGGGGGGATCTCCCCGCCACCAATGTGCAGCATCCACCCGGATGATGCGACAGCAGCCATAGTGCACCAAAACGCCACCACACGACAGCTTATGTGACCGATAGCATTGATTTATGACCACAAATAAAAATTAATATGGAGGTACTGCCCAGGTAAGGTTTCTGCCCAACAGCACCAATATAATACTTTCTATCGCAACTTTTATTTTGTTGACCTAGCTAACATTAGATAAAATAAAATATGTCGACCGCAAGCTAGCTAATAGTATTGGACATGTTTCTCTTTTGCACTAGTAATGGATTTCAAGGTCAAGGTAACCTTAGCCTAAACGTTCAAATTTTAGGCTATATCTAGATGTCTTTCACAAAATATCAAATATTTTCTGTGACAAAAAATGTATTAAATAAAACTTACATGCATGAAATATACAAAAGCAGCCGTGTTGAATTTTGAAATGTGTGGCAGGTGAATAGTTTTCTGCAGTAAATATATTTATACTATTTATAAATATCAAAGGTTCCTATATGGGTCATTTTTGACCCATGTGTGTAAAATTGATGTAGAAATACAAAAACCGTGTTTGTTTATAAAGTAAGAAAGGGAAAATAAAAATAATGATTTGTGGAAATCAAAAACAAGATATTTAATGAATACCTGGATTAATAAATGATAAAATATATTTATTTCAAATATTCAGCAAAGAAACATGAATACGGGTCTTTTTAGACCCATGTTGCGCATTAGAAGGGTAGTGAAACAAAAACGATTTTTATTCGAAAAGTAAGAAAGGAAAAATTTAAATAAGGATTTGTAATGATCTAAAACAAGTTAATTGAGGAATACCTGGAATACTGAATGATGAAATTAATTTCTTGCAAAGATATAGAAAATGAAAACTCAGTCGGGTCTATTTAGACCCATGTTGTGCATCAAAGGGTTAATACAGTTTGTTTAATTGCAAGGCAGTGTATTTGACTACTTTTGGTAGCATATTGGGATGTCTGATAGAGTCCTAAAGGAAAACCAGCTGGTGTAGAACATTCAATCACCATCCATGAATACAGGGATTTGATTAAAACACTGTGAAATGAGACTAAACACACAATCTCATCAATCAGAGAAGCTCGTTCTGTATTTATAAAGAGGTTTAACGTCAAATCTCAAAATAGCCAAAGCGACTGTAATTCAGAGGCGTTTGGCAGTCTGGAAACGTTCAATTATTGCACAGTCCCATAAAGACAGCGCCAATCATCTGCTCCCACATACAACACTTTCAATATGTTTCCACTCGCAGCGTCTGTGTGAACAGTGACAGACACACCACTGTGTGCACACAAACACCTACACACATGACAGGGAGAGGGAGTGTGAGGAACGCTCAGAACGGGATACTAAATTACCAATATGCATGGAATTGAAGTGTTTATTGAACAATGCATGCTCATATTTAATATTTCACAAGAGTACAATGCAGTGCTAGTATCCTATCTGAAAACAGCCTGAGAGAAGCACACACACACGTGCAACGTCTGGTTTACTATATTTATGGGGACTCTACATAGACACAATGTTTTTTATACTGTACAAACTGTATATTCTCTCCTCTTACACTAACACTACCCTTAAACCTACCCATCACTGTAAACTTTCTGCATTTTCACATTTTCTAAAAAAACTCATTCTGTATGATTTATAAACTTGTTCCCTCATGGGGACCTCAATTTAGGTCCCCAAAGTGACACGAGTCCCCATGAGTCTGTGTGCATTCAGGTTGAAGTCCCCACCGGGATAGAACATGAACACACACACACACACACACACACACACACACACACACACACACACACACACACACACGCACACACGCACACACGCTCTGCATGAACATATTTCAGCTGCTCAATTAGTGAAATGCGAACTGGAAGTGAAATATGCCCAGGGCCGTTTTCAAATCTGCTTTGAGCGATAAGGTGACAAATAGCAGCGCGCTCTCGACGGGTGTTTTCACACTGCCTGTGATTCCAAGCACGGCAGAATAAACCGGCAGCGCTCGCACGACTCCGCACGCATACAAAAGTGGCACTTTAAGGAGAAGGAGGAGATTGCAAGATGTTTTCTATTTCAAAAGGCAAAGCTGCTCTCCGCGGAGCAGCATGTCAACACTAGCGGGAGGCGACTGGCCTTTAGATGGCCGATTTATTTTGTGTTCCCAGGATGTCTGGTGGGAGACGCGTGACTGCAGGCGGCTGGAAGAGCATTAAAAGAATTACAAATATATCTGAGGCGATTCGGTCCCACAACCACAGGCTTGAACAGACGCATGATCTATGGGAGGTGAATGACTCGGTTTCATCATGAATGACTGGAAATATATACATATATAAACAAAACCACAAATACAAACCACACAACAATATTATTTTTACGCTTTTTCTGTGTCTGACCTTTTCTAGCATTGTATTTGCTTTGCCATTGTTTACCACCATTCCATTGTTTTGATTTACTTCTGACACGTTCCAGGGTAGGGAGCTTTTTTTTGTGTGCAACTTTTTATTTCAAAATTCTGACTTTTTATCTAGCAATTGCAAGTTTACATCTGCCAAATCTGACTTTTTCTCAGACTTGTGAATTTATCTCACAATTCTTAGAGAAAAAGTTAACCTGCAATTGTGAGAAAAAAGTCTGAACTGTGAGATAAAATATATATTTTTTTTATTCAGTGGTGTAAACATTAAGCTTCCATAGATTTGAGCAGCAATAAGGAACTGAAATACATTTGGCAAAAAAAATATATAAAATAAATAAATAATTGAATAATATATTTTAAATACACTATATATATATATATATATATATTAGGGGTGGAACGGTACATGTATTCGTATCGAACCGAAACGGTACGGGCGTCACGGTTCGGTGCACGAATTTACACGGAGAATACACGGTATAAAAATAAATAAAACTCGCGTGCAAATTAATTAATGTAATGCGGAACTACTGTTAGATACGCGGGTTCTTTAGGGACACATAATCTGTAGCATCGGCTTAGCTCTGAACGCACGTTCACTTCAAACGTTGGCTTTATACGCGCGTCCTATTCGCTTTGGACTAGCGTCGAACTAGACGCGAATTTGACGCTCTATTCGCGTTTGGTGTGACCGTGACCGCATAATGAACAGGCAGCGATGTCAAGATTGCAATGCTGGAGTGTGTGTGTGTGTGAGAGAGAGAGAGAGAGAGAGAGAGAGAGAGAGAGAGAGAGAGAGAGAGAGAGAGAGAGAGAGAGAGAGAGAGAGAGAGAGAGAGAGAGAGAGAGAGAGAGAGAGAGAGAGAGAGAGAGAGAGAGAGAGAGAGAGAGAGAGAGAGATAGAACAGTGGAAACATAAAAAACATACTCCGTCATTTTTGTTCATACAGATCATTAAACCTGCAAAGTGTTTACTTATATTTGTGTACACTCACAATAAAACACAACATTGTGCTTTTGTCACACTGTAAACTCTTGTCAAACTGTAACCTACAACTGTCACCCAACCAAAATCACACACACACACACTGTTTTAAAAGCAAAACATATTTATCCAACTCCATTTCAAAACAGTCTGTGTGTCCCATCTTTTGGACATTCGTCATATTGCATTGGTTTTCATTTCTTGTCCTCGGAGCACTAATCTCACACATTCTACATTGATTAAAAAAAGAAAATTGAATGTGTTTTTAATGGTAGTATTATTTTGTACAGAAATCAATTATTTATAATTCAGAAGAGAATAATGTTACATTGTCAATTAATAATGTTAATTAAAATTAAGGAAAAACAAATATTTTGATCTGAGATATAGCAAAATAATTTTAAATTAATTCAGGTACAATTACCAAACATATCGCAAGGTCTTTTTGTCTTTTTATTAATTTAATTAATAAACTAATTATATAAAACTATTGTCAGTGCACTACAAATAAACTGGTTCTATGCCTTTATTAAAAAAACTTATTTAAAAAATACAATGCCTTCTGCATTTTTGTTTTGCTTTTCCCTCCATTGTACCGAAATCGTACCGAACCGTGATGTCTGAACCGAGGTATGAACCGAACCGTGACTTCTGTGTACCGTTCCACCCCTAATATATATACTGTATATACTTTTTTTTTTTTTGGATTATCATAGTTTTAAAAATGTCCCTATACCCTAATATTCACATTTTATATTTTAAGATCTTTAAGTTTAGATCTGGTACAAATGTAAAACAAAATTTACCTATAACCATTTGATGTACAAATTAACCTTTGTACATCACAAAGAAAAATAAATGTATTAGTTTTGAATATATCAACCTCTGGAAAAGAAATGCCAGTATTTGATGCCGGTGTAAGGTTTCTGCACTACAGAGAGAGACAGCTGTTGATGGGTTTGGAGAGGCCACACAAAGACACCAGTAATTGATTTCTATGCTTTTGGAAATATATCAGACAAATTCACAATGCAATGCATTTACACATAGAAACTGACATCTCCATGGAGATGGTGAAATATGAAAAGATTCAGGATTATAAGAGAAATTCTCACCCGGAGAAATGAAGGGAAGCCCAGCCCATAATAACCTACAGCGAAGTAGTCTGGCTTTGGTCTGATCACTTTCACAATGCTCTCATAAAACTGAGCCTGCTTCCTCTGAGAGAGACAGAGACAAAAATCACATCATCAGTTCATTTACAAACACTCTTTAAATGACTTCAATGAAATTAAACTTTGCTCACCTCAACTATTTCATTTTTGTTATATATATACACTCTGTAATATGAATTTGGATCAAATTCATAATAAAATGGTAATAATAATAATAATTTAGAAATAAAAACAGGTTGAGATCAATATGTGAGGGGTTGCAATAAAAGTTGGTCCCAAACTTTCGTTCTTTCTGTCTGAATGGATCAATTTGTCATTTGTTGCCAATTAGACAAAAATGCACTAACAAACAAAATGCGGAAAACCATTAAAACACCCCCGTCCATTTATATTAGGCCAATTTACCTACTTAGGTAAACTGGAACAGTCTGAAGGGCTCATTAATTGTTTGTTTCATTGAAAAACATTGACAGCAAAAGTTTGTACGTACCAGTAAAGTGCTCAGCTGCTCAAAGTCAAACATCTCGTTCTCGTACTGTTCGGCTAACTCCTTCCCCAGGATAATGGCCTCCTCCCACATCTGAACACAAAGCACATCAAACTTCATAATCACGTCAAAAACACAGTGACATAACAGCCTTCTAACCATCTGTGAACAATGTGCTTTGAACATAAAAGTGCTTTTTGAGATGAAGCGGATGCCAATATTATCCAGCTGCACCATGCTGATCGTGTCAAATATTTAAAGTCCCCCTGTAGCTAATCATTTTATCAGTTAAAACTCATCTTTAATCACCAAAACGACATTGTTGACCACAGAATATCATTTTGAACCATTCCTCTGTAAAAACAAATGATGTCAATGGGGCTAAACCAAAAGGTGTAAAACCTCATATTTGAATGCACTTTTTTGCACATCTGGTTATGCGTTATTGATGTTATTTCTATGGGAGGAGCAGGTGGCACTAAATGAGTTTGTCAGAGCAGGAATATGGATATTCTTTGGCTCTGATATTCTCTCATATCAGACTTATAACTTCAAATGCCAAGTGTAAATAAAACCTCTATCTAGCATTACACTTCTGGTGCACAGGATTTGATATATAACTAATTCTTCAAATGAAACTTTGAGTGCATCCCGGCGGCACTGAGAGAGAGAGAGGCTATGATTATATATCAATATCTGCAGTGCATTATTATTGAGAAAGTTGCCAGCGATAGTATTTTCAGCCTGTAGGAGACATTGTGGATTACTTCTTCAGAATGAAGGAAGAATAAAGCAAGCAGCGTGCAAAAAAAGTCATAAAAAGCAACTCGCATTGTAATATCAGACCACATGTTCAGCATGACAATTACAATTCTCAATTTGTTTCCTGTCGACACTGCAGAGTGCACTAAAGGAACAGTTCCCCTCAAAGTGCGAACGGTGTCATTATTTACGCATCCTCATGACGTCCCAAGCCCTATGTTGAATACCAAAGGAGAAGCATCTTTTTCCATTACAAAGGCTGTCAAAAACACAAAGTAACACAATAAAACTCATAAATGAGTCCTTGACTTGTGTGCAGTCTTCTGAAGCCTTATCATATTTCTGAGAGGAAGAAACTCAAATTTTACATTCATTTATGCATTGTTGCTATTCCATTCTTGCAAAAAACCTTGAGTCTAGTCCATGTTTGCATCCAGAATTCAAAAAAGGTGCATCAAGTTTGGTTACTACACACAAGAAATTGTCATTTTTGCATCAATGACAGCACTGACTAGGTTTAAAAGAACACACTAGTCTGATATTAACTAAAATGTGGTCATACTACTTTTACATTGTAAAACCTATATTTTGCAAATCATCATATTACAATGCAGGATTTTAAGGGAGAAGATTCATCATCTCCAGCATTTTCCAAGAGAAGGGAATAGCATGTACAGTATCATATGCACATGTACATTATACAGGAATATAGCTGTGATGCATGTAAATGTCTTTTTCAGAATAAAGGCTTAGCATGAAAAGAAACTTTATTTTTGAAATTGTGTGCATGCAACATGACATGGTATCAAAATTTTTTTTATTTGTTCGAAAAAAAGGGCTTGGGTGGAGGCGGAGATCATCAGAAATCGTTCATTTCTGCTGAACTGAACTGCTCCTTTAAGGGAATATACAGGGAAAGCAGGCAGTGAAAGAGTAGGAAGAGTTTATGTGACTGAGACTTCCTGTCTCGGCTCTCAGGAGACGTTCAGCTGTGACATGTGGGTATGTCCCAGCAGTCTGAGCAGTGTTTAAAATAGACTGGAATAATTCCCATAAAATGTGTCGAACAGAAGAACTACGGCCCAGAGCTGCTCCTCAGCTCGCTTTCCAGGACTGACTGACTGCTGCTCTCCTTCAAATACACACACTTTCCTGTTCAATCCTCTTGAGTTCTCTCTATTTGACACACTCGGTCATGATTTTGAGCCGTTGAGCCCAGTAATGGGGTCCAGTCCAGGGCAGCAGATTCGCTAGAAGTCCCCTACCGAGAGACCTCTACGCTGGGCACAGATCTCTGCGTGGCCCTTATAACCCTCAAATCCCCTCAGCTCCTCCGTCCAGCCTGTCAGACTAATGGAGATGTAGCCATAACAGACCAGCCAATAATCTCCCTCTCCACGGGTCACCTGTCCGTTACACTGACTGCAGTCTCTCTCAGGACACGTTTAAAGGCACGTTCAAATTATATTACATACGCAATATACATTTAAAAAACATTTTTTTAAATATTTAAAAGAAAAATAGTATGGATACAGTATATATACACATTCATTTTACTTGAGTATCTAATTAAAAATACTTGAGTATCTAATTATGCACAAAAAATCTAAATATTAAATAAAAAAAAATATATATATATATACATTTTTTCATTTAATATATTTTTTTTTTTGCATAATTAGAGACACTCACGTATAAAAAAAACCCACAAAAAAACCTATCTATCTACACTCACCGGCCACTTTATTAGGTACCCCATGCTAGTAACGGGTTGGACCCCCTTTTGCCTTCAGAACTGCCTCAATTCTTCGTGGCATAGATTCAACAAGGTGCTGGAAGCATTCCTCAGGGAGTTTGGTCCATATTGACATGATGGCATCACACAGTTGCCGCAGATTTGTCGGCTGCACATCTATGATGCGAATCTCCCGTTCCACCACATCCCAAAGATGCTCTATTGGGTTGAGATCTGGTGACTGTGGAGGCCATTTTAGTACAGTGAACTCATTGTCATGTTCAAGAAACCAATTTGAAATGATTAGAGCTTTGTGACATGGTGGAAGTAGCCATCAGAGGATGGGTACATGGTGGCCATAAAGGGATGGACATGATCAGAAACAATGCTCAGGTAGGCCGTGGCATTTAAACGATGCCCAATTGGCACTAAGGGGCCTAAAGTGTGCCAGGAAAACATCCCCCACACCATTACACCACCACCACCAGCCTGCACAGTGGTAACAAGGCATGATGGTTCCATGTTCTCATTCTGTTTACGCCAAATTCTGACTCTAACATCTGAATGTCTCAACATAAATCGAGACTCATCAGACCAGGCAACATTTTTCCAGTCTTCAACTGTTCAATTTTGGTGAGCTCTTGCAAATTGTAGCCTCTTTTTCCTATTTGTAGTGGAGATGAGTGGTACCCGGTGGAGTCTTCTGCTGTTGTAGCCCATCCGCCTCAAGGTTGTGCGTGTTGTGGCTTCACAAATGCTTTGCTGCATACCTCGGTTGTAACGAGTGGTTATTTCAGTCACTGTTGCCCTTCTATCAGCTCGAACCAGTCTGGCCATTCTCCTCTGACCTCTGGCATCAACAAGGCATTTCCGCCCACAGAACTGCCGCTCACTGGATGTTTTTTCTTTTTCGGACCATTCTCTGTAAACCCTAGAGATGGTTGTGCGTGAAAATCCCAGTAGATTAGCAGTTTCTGAAATACTCAGACCAGCCCTTCTGGCACCAACAATCATGCCACGTTCAAAGTCACTCAAATCACCTTTCTTCCCCATACTGATGCTCGGTTTGAACTGCAGGAGATTGTCTTGACCATGTCTACATGCCTAAATGCACTGAGTTGCCGCCATGTGATTGGCTGCTTAGAAATTAAGTGTTAACGAGCAGTTGGACAGGTGTACCTAATAAAGTGGCCGGTGAGTGTATATATATATGTATCCCCTGAAAAAATATTTCTGTATCTAATTATGCACAAAAAATTTATATTTAAATTTGATGCTGCCATCCTAGACTTTTTTTTAGCAATATATTAGGGCTGGGTATTGACACAAATTTCACAATTCGATTCGATTTCGATTCACAAGCTTGCAATTCGATTCCGATTCGATGCAATATTGATTATTTTGGATATCAGGTACAATACATGGCAAATTTTCTCAAGGAAAACAAATCTCTTAACTAATGCTGTAAACTATGGGAGTCAGTTGTAGCCTACTAGGCTTCATTAGCCTACTATAATATTGGTAATTATATACTGATTTGTATACAAACACTTAAATTACACTTTTATTTTATAATAATAAAGTTGAAATATAAACATTTAAATGGTGGCTGTCATAAAACTTGCCAGATTTATTTAAACATGCATTAAATATTGAAGAACATTAAAAATTATAATGAATATGTAATATGGTGCATATATTTAGCAAAATGCTCCTCTCTAGAGTTAATTTTTCTAGCTGATTAACGAGTTTATGGTCACTGTATATGGTTTTTCTGATGTAAATGTGACGTTACATTGTTGTTTTAATGACGTCTTTCCACGGTTGAGACACTGATTGACTGATTCCATGTGACATGATACGGATTTCGATAAGTTGTACTATTTTAACACACTTTCAGATGCTCATTCATGTTTATTTCGCGCTGTAACTGGTATTATTAAGGCGGAAGAGAAGATCTGCTTCTCTTGAGCTGAGCTAGAGCGATCTCACGCCACAGCGCCAAAACGGTATGTTTTTGAATTTCGTAAGAAAATGGACATACTTAGAAATCGGAGACTATGTTTCATATCAATAGTAACAAAGCACAAGGATTATTGCGATTTATTGGATGGGATGAGCACTACAATGTTCCATTCATTCATCAACTAAAAAAACAGGATAGCCTAATCGATTCTTGGGATTTAAGAATCGATATCGGTTCGTAAAAATGAGAATCGATTAAAATCGAGAAATCGATATTTTTTTACCCAGCCCTACAATATATATATATATATATATATATACACTGTATACAGTACAGTGCAAAAGTCTTAGGCATGTTAGTATTTTCACACAAGTTATTTATATCTTCTGCTGTAGTGTTTACATTGCCAAACATTCTTTTTGGCATTAATTGTAATAATTAATTTCCGCAGTTCTTCTGGTTTCTTCATGTAATCCCAGACAGACTCGATGATGTTAAGATCAGATCTCCATGTGGATCATACAAATAGTTTTTTTAATATATACATTTATAGAAATAAACCATCAGATCAATTCAACATGCTAAAATGAAAGTAGAACAAGTTTGATAATTGCAGTTCACAATGTCGTTGTGAGTTGAAATGCCACTATTCTGAAAACACTAATAGTTAGTTACTGGCCAACATGACTCAAGCATGTAGTGATGCAGTGTTAGTGATGGTTACCTTTCCCTTGTCGAAGTAATTGATGATCTCCTGGTACAGCTGGTCTTTGAGTTGACCCTGAGTGCTCGCGTGGTATCCGTCTCTCTGCGTCAGGTGGGCGGCACAGGCCTCTTCAGACCACTGACAAAACAACATCAGCATTACACTCTTCAAATACACTGCATTAACCTGCTAGTGACCTGATGAGAGTCGTGTTTACTTCACTGTTAGATCGGATCTGTATCTATACACATACAAATACATTCAAGTTTCATGTTAACTTCTGTTTGGTAGTAAAGGAGTCTCATAATCAAATGTCCCTTTTATCTTTTGAAATAAGGTTTATTACAACAAAATGTAACACAAAACTTCCCACGCATAAGAAAAGTGAGGCTGCATAAATGTCTGATGCAAGTTACAGTATGTGAATTCATGTGTCCGCCTACATGTATACATTAATGACGGCTATTACGATGAGGTAATATGGAGGAAAATGGATATTACTATTTCAAAACGAGATCCCTTATGATTTCAGTTTGATCTGAACAGTTCGAGCGACACATTTCAGATTTTTGACTTTTTTAGTGCAAAAAACTTTACTAAAAGCATTATAAGGGGAACACAGGGAAAGAAAAAAAAAAAAAAAAAAAAAAAGAAGTCATGACCACTCTGAACAATAAATGAAAATATGCAATATGCAGGTGCACAAACACGCGCACACACACACACACACAGACACACACACACACACACACACACACACACACCAGTGTGGTCGCTTTCAGATAACAGCTGCTGGAGATATAAATTTTGTTGTGCTCAGAGTCTGAAAGGTTTTGCCTGTATTACTGTGCCGTGTCAAGAGCCCATCTGATAACACTGATTTATGTGGCCACACTGTAATATTCATTACAGATGCTGCCGTAAACAAGTGATTATAGGGAGAAACTGTGCAGGTTAAGAACTCTTGGGTTTGTGCTGACCACTCAGTTCACCGCTTTTCTGGAATATAAATAAACACACACACACACACGAAAACGAGTGATCTGATTGGCTGGAGAAGATCAGCTGACTCTCTGGAGGGCTGCTGCTATTGGCTGTGACGTTGAGCTACTGTATTGTGCTAAGGGCTCTGTCAGAACTGATTCACTGTAGTGTAAACGTAATTGACATTTCATGAAGCTTTGTGCAACAGCGGGGGTCAAACACCTCAGGAAACGGCATCATCAGCGTGAAAGCCACGGGTCTGTCTTTTATTGATCATCATGGCCTAGCGAGACGCTGACTGTTTCCATGTGAACCAGACGTTTTTACACCGTGACATCAGCGCTGGTTACTGTCATCATCAGTAACAACATTTCTACAATACAGAGCAGGAAGTGGAGCGAGTAATATATATATATATATATATACACACACACAAGCATTGAAAAGTGTGTGTGTCACTGGGTCGCTTTAAAAAACATAATGTTTTTGAAAGACTTTTACGCACACCAAGGCTGCATTTCTATGAATAAAACTACAGTTAAAAAGCAATATTGTGAAATATTTTTCCAGTTTAAAATAACTTTTTTCTATTGTATTAATAAATTATGTTATTCTATTGTATAACATAATTTATTCCTGTGATCAAAACTGAATTTTCAGCATCATTACTTCAGTGTCACATGATCCTTCAGAAATCATTGTAATATGCTCATTTGGTGCTTAATAGTTATTGTGGAAACCGTGAACATTTTGGATAGAAAGTTCAAAAGAACAGCATTAATTTGAGATGGAAACTCAAAACTCTTACAGTGTCCCTATCATATTTTTCTTCTTAAAAGTAACGAAGACTACTATAAAGTGTCTTACTAATCTAGTTTTATTATGTTTGTCTGCTTTAAATATATATACGTCAAGCGTTTTACCATGTTTACAGTAAACATCTGCTTTCTCTTTCTAATGAACAGCTTGAAGTGTCACAGCCATGAGCACAAGCCTTGCAATGATAAACTAAACTAAAAGCCTTTTAGAGAGCTTGAGATTGCACAAAGCAATATGCAAACACTTAAACACATTATTTGTCTGAAAGCACGTTTGAAGAAGTATAAATTAATATTTGAAATCACCATTTCACAAAACAACTCTTCAGGAGTTTCACGACGTCCAAGCGAGCAGATAACAAGTTGTAAACGTTTCAGGTTTTGGTGTTGTCTCTGAGGTTTGTGTGTGTGTATGTAAATGCATGTATTATGTGTGTAGCACAAGGTGTGTGGAAGTGTGTGCATGTGTTGCTCTTCTACACAGGAGCGAAGAGAACGGTGGCAGCTTTTTATGAAAAGAAGCTGCGTGGGTTTGAGGGAACGTGGTTTTCCCTCGCTGACTGTGACAGCCGATTCCCTCGTCAAATTACTCCGGTAAAGCCCTAAACGGATCTCAGATTCACTATCCAGATGTCATTAAACAGCAAGCCAATATACATATTAATTCATTTGCTCAACTAACAGTTAACTTCAATTATCAAGACTAACTCCCAAGATCAAATTTGCATTTCGTGAAGGACACAGTAGAGCTTGCAGAGCAGCCACATAATATACAGAAATATTATGTTTTATATGGTGTAAATGTGCAAATTAAATGTCGCAGAGCTTTGCGTTTGTCATGACATGCATCTTGATTTCTATGTGCTGTGCATACGAACCGATACATATATCAACTATATGTATAAACGGATATAAAAAAAACTATCAGTAAAAAATCAGTATGCAAATAAATGCAAGACGACGACAAAAACAGAAACGTTTCAGTATGCAAATATCACTTTCAGTTAAGAATAAAGTTCACAAACACCTAAAAGGGTGTCTGTACATTAAGTGATTCTGGATGAATTAATTAAAGAAGTTTTAATACTTGGGTATTAAATTTAATACTTTAAGTTTCACAAGCTTTATACTTAATACTAATGAATTTTAATATCCAAAGCCTTACGTGCACCGCAATCATCTTTGACAAAGTTTAAGTATCTTTCTACCGGAGATTTGTTCTCAAATCTGCACTTGAGGTGACTTTATAAATGTCAGACAAGGGGAAAAACATCCTTCTGTAGAACTTCAACACTCAAAGAAATTGAAATGTGCATGAATTATTCCTGTCAGAGTCTTCAACAGCAAGATATCCAATTAAATTATACCTGATACTGTAGATTCTGCAGTTGAATGAGTGCATAAACATTGTTATCTCTTATACGCTGAACATTCATTTACTGGCATGTGTCGGCAAGTAGGAATCAATGTAGTGTGTGTTTACCGGAGACATCTAGAGACGTCCTCAAAGACAAGAGGCATATATAGTCAGATAAACACGTGGAATTACCTTGAGGAGTTTAGCATGCAGCAGTAGGGTGTATCCGGCCTCTGTGTAGTTATCACACTCCTTATGCAGGTCACAGAGCTTATACAGGTACCTACACACACACACACTCCAATGATATTAACAATCTGAACACAAACTCCATTACACAAAAAGAAGCTCCAATAACAAAGGCCAGCAGCACAGAGAGATAGAGTTCAGATTAGCTATTCACGTACTGCATGATCCCAAACACAGGGAAAGCTTGGAGAAACTTCTGTTGTCTATACTTAAGATTCTTAAAGATTCAAATTCCAAATTAAATGCTTTTTTTTTTTTAATAAATTGGATCATTCCGGGACTGTTTTTGGATTTGTCAAGACAGTATTCCATTGGTGCTAAAACACACACTATTGTAAATATGATGTGAAATACTGGTTCACTTAAGATACTTAGTGGGCTTTTTTCTGAATAAAATAAATATATTTTTTCTTTTAATATAAAACCACAAATAATTTACTGAAAGGTATTTATAAAACTAAAATAATAATATATACATAAAACTATACATAAGCATATACATATCTAAAAATATATATATGTACACATATCACTATTGTTCAAAAGTTTTTTTTTTGTAATGTTTTTCAAAAGAATTCTCCTCTGCTCACCAAGGCTGCATTTATACTGTATAAAATACAGTGAAAACAGTAATATTGTAACAAATACCGGTAAATTTATTTTAAAATGTAAACTTTATTCCTCTGATGTAAAGCTAAATGTTCAGCATCATTACTCCAGTACTCATTGCCACATGATCCTTCAGAATTCACTCTAATACGCTGATTTTTATTAATATTGAAAACGGATGATCTGCTTAATTTTTTTGTGGAAACCATGATATATTTTTTCAGGATTGTTTAATGAATCGAACGTTCAAAATAAC